ACCCTCGCTTTTTACCTTTTCTTTATGTTTTTTTCTCTTTTCCTTGCCCTTTCTTCCTCGTTTACTATCCCCTCCTGTGGATGGACGTTTCCATCATCAAGATTGCTTTTTTTTTTGCAAACGGACCAATTACTTTAAGGTTAAACTATGAAACGTGACCTTTCAGGAAACAGCCCTCAAATTCATGAATGATATTGGTCCGTTCATTTGCGTTCTTTCGCTTGCAGCCCACTGCTCGAAAATCGCTTTGCGGATCAATCCTGAGAAATTTCGTTTGCAGGGGTAATTACCAAAAGACGTTTGTGTTTTATACAACCGGTTAAGTTAAGTTTTGGAATTTATTGGAAATCAGCTGCTGTTACTCTTACCATTCAGGGTTCAAACTGGGCCCATGAACTGTGTTAAACTCCTCTAGCCTCGAGCTCATATGTCATGAAAATCCTTCCAAATTTTCGGCCTTTTTGCTGCAATACGGAAAGAAATTAGCAAATGAATTTGTGCTTTCGACTTACATGAACAGATGTTTTAAATCTGTTGAATGGACAGAGAAGTTTTAAAAACTCTTCTCTGGCATTTAACTAAAGAAAGTAGAGGCCAGGTTTTGTAGAACTTTCGTTAAGCTCTATACTTATCGTTTTAGTTTAATAATTACATACATCGCCACTTCCCATCATCATTTGCTTGTTTTTCAAAATAGCCTAATGGTTAATTTAGAAATGGTAGGAATAAAACTTATTAAAGATCATCAGGCAGTCACCCCGCGATGTGTTGTTCATTAGCCAGAATGTTTTGCCTTGAGAGAATCAAGAGGGTATTGTTGTCGAGCTTGTTGAGTAGCACTAAAAGAAGAATCCTGCACAACATTTTAGTAAATTCCGTACCTGGTGGAGCCATCCGCAACTGGTGCCCCATTTCTGCGAAATGTCGCTCTCTCCTTTCTTGAAGTTTTGTCCTAAATTCTTCCTACAAAATAATCATATCAAAAGGATTACAACCCGCGTGGAAGCCGCAGTGATTAAAAGATTTTTTTCTAGGTACAAATTTAAGGATTTAATATCTAGCTGGAACCAACCCAGCCGCAGACCAACATTAATTTTCTCCTAACAACATCAGCAGATCATCAAGAGTAAAGGCTATGAGTATTACTAAAATGGTCATTACCAAAGAAAGAAAGCTTTGATCTTAAACCATAAAAAGGAGACCAATCTGAAGATTTTGTATGTATGATTATGTATGATTTATGTATGTTTGTCACGTTATAGATGTTGCATAATACGGCAATTACTTTGAAACCGAGACGCGGCAAAAAAGCGAAGAACCACGGTTGAATCTATGACGTAACTTGCTACCGAAGTGTCAGGCTGTCGGTTCTCCCCAGTTCCCATTCCGCGTTTTCGCACTTTTTTGATCCGTTTTGCCCACTCTCTTGGAGCTTGGAACAGGATAAATGAGAGTTTAAAAAATTAACGACAATACAGACCCTTGCTTTTCTCTTTTTCTTTATGTTTTTTTCTCTTTTCCTCGCCCTTTCTTCCTCGTTTACTATCCCCTCCTGTGGCTGAAGGTTTCCATCCATAAAATTACGGAGTTCAAGGTTGCTGTCGCTAGCCAATGTCTATACAACACTTTAATAAGATGAGTTCATTACTTTTAAGAAGCCATGGTCAGTTACCCTATAAAACTATCCACATGTTATTCTTATCCTATTATTCGAAACACTAGCAGCAGACCTATTTTGCAGTGCGACTACTCGAATCGAGCATTTGGAAGAACATATCCAATCACAAAGTTTTTTATAAAAAAAAACAAACAAAAGATTTTTAAGTTTGTTTTTTCTTTGTAAACGGACCACCAATTACTTTCAAGGTTAAACTACGCAACGTGACCTCTCAGGAAACAACCCTTAAATTCATGAATGATATTGGTCCGTTCATTTGCGTTCTTTCGCTCGTAGCCCATTGCTCGAAAATCGCTTTGCGGATCACTCCTGAGAAATTTCGAAATTTTTGCACACACACTTCAAGCCTAAATAAGATGCAGTGATTGTTGCTATTCAATATTTATTAACGGTGCTTTCAAACCCATTTTTTGTGCATGAATAATCACCTCCTACAGAGCGTTTTCACTCGCGTGTCCAGGATCCATGCAAATCTATTGAATCGAAAGAAAGCGTTTGCAAGAAAAGAATTCAACTCCCACAGGATTTTCTTTGTACACCAACATGGCTGTCATTTCATTGTTTTAGAACACCGAATACGGCCGCCGCGACGTCAGTATATACGGTATTGATGTAAAATTGACCATCCACCAAGTATGAAAAAACGGCAATTTCAAAAACGCACTTCTCATGAACTTAAGCCAATGTAAGCAGAATTTCGCGGAAATAACCCTTTAAATATATTTCTTTTCCCACTTTAAGTTATCGTTGGCAGCGTGGTGCAGTGGTCTAGGAGCCGACCTTCCATGCAGATGATCCAGGTCTACTCTACGCTGAGCTGTTTTTTTTTCCTTTGCTGAATACTTTTTCTCGCATATATTCTTACCGCGCGAGTTTTTAACGTTGAGGTGGCGCGGTTTTAAAAATATATAGTACATTCGGTCATTTCGATGGAACCGCGTAAACTCCACGCTTGCGGTCTTCTATCTACCTTAATCCTACACGGATTTGAAAAACAGTGCAAACACTTGAGAACTGATCATCTGTAGGTTCAGTTTTCTGATCCACCCAGCTTATAGCGACCCAAAAGATAAAAACTGTATTCGCAATCCCTCATTTGTTTGTGGCGTAAGGACAAATCCTCGATAACCTATGTAATAAAGCACTTATTGTAATGAATGATATTCTTTTTTCCCAAAATAGTAAACAACAACATGGAAAAAACTTTGATATAACAAAATATAACAGAACAAACAAATTCAGTTTGCCTTATCATTCCGGGCTTCTTCGCTCCTTCCTTTTCGCCTTCCTTTTCTTCCTTTTGAGCTTTGCTTTCTCTTTCTTTGATAATGACTCCGTTGCATTTGATCTGGAATTGAAAATAACGTTGTCATCAATTATTATACGTTTAGATGAATCCTCAGTGTGTGTATTACCTGAAATATATGTGTTGCAAACTTTTTGCAACATGAAATTCATTTGTCTCCTTCTCTCGTTCTTTCTCTCGTTCCTCCTTTTTCAGCTTTTCTAATTAGTGATATTCACTAATAGAAATTAGGTGAAACTTAATCTGCATTTGTTCCAATTTAAAATATGTATAGTTTAGTGTAGAAAAACAAAACTGGGAGAAAAAAAGATTATCTACAATATTTTACAAGTAGGGGCGCGCTACACAAGTGGATTCACATACAAAACATCAAGAGTTCTATATACAGAAAATTGCATTCTATTTAAACTTAGTTTGAGCTACTGATAATAATCAGTAGCTGGGAATGGAATCTGATGATTTTCTTAAACCTGTATCAACCAGAAAAAATTACAATAATAATATACGTAACAAAAGCAACAGAAGAAGTGTTTGTAACGCTCTACAATACAGAAAAAATAAGCTAATTTATTTAGCTATTGAAAGTGGACAGACTGCAAATTATAGTAGTTGCTAAAAAAATATATCTACGCGTCGTCATTGTTTATCAGTAGGATGCCTAAAATGTGTGCACTTCCACAATTGGTTTCGGCTCCATTCACTCGCTCGATCAGATGATTTGAATGGACTGAATAGCCAAACGGGTCAGAAATATTAACTTAAGAAAGAATTAATCACAAATATATCATTGCAAGGATTTAGAGCTTTTTGATTATCAAGAAAAGAAAGGAATAACTAACTTTGGGTGCTACCGGTTTTGAACAAACCGTATTTAATACAAAAGCAGGCTTTAACTCCTGGTCTTGGAGGTGCTAGATCAGACCCGGGAATCTTCTGATCAGCAAGATTATTCAATATTATATGTAGGTATTGTGTAAGCTTTGCAAATTAAAGCTCTGTACAAAGGTTTGTCAGAAGGGGTACAGATTGCTTGTTGAAAAAAATATACACGAAAATTTGATCCAAACTGCCCTAAACATATCGGAGAATGAGGATATCTTAGCCTTTATCCTTCTCATTTCTAGCCTGTCACTCTTTCTTTCTCCCTTTCTTCCTTATATGTCATTCCCTGAACTAACATATGTTATGCAAACCACACCAAACATTTTGAGTTTGAGGACCCTTCTCATTTGAAGCCTTTCAGTCTTTCTTTCTTTCCTTCTTGCATGGTTGCAGACACCCACCTCTGTCATCCAAATGTGCGGTGTGTCCTATTGTGGGATGTGGGATGTGTCTTATATGTCAATATAATGCCACCATCAAACAACAAATTAACCTTGAATTGATGGCCAAGGATTCCAGTGCCATGCAGACTGATGCCTCTAGAGTTCCAACGAGCAACACGTACAATCCCTGAACATTTATAGTTGCACTCCTGTAAGCAGACACCCTCTGCATTAAACTATGCTGTTTGCATTTCTTTACACAACGAAGACCGAAACAAAAGCAGGAAAATGAAGGGAAAGATTGGAGCCCAGATATGGTCTTACAATTCGATACTTTTTTTCTAAAGAGGTTAGTTTCTGAAGAAATTACGCTGCTGCATCGAGGGCAGCTCTATAATCTGAAAACCGCAATCCGAACATGGAATCACGGAAAAAAGGGATGTAAAGTCTTATCACCAGAATCAACTCCTCTAGTCATACAGCATTCTACTCTGGCCAGGTAAGTAATTGACTTATGTCTTTATCTTTTAAGATTGCCAAGCGAGTGCCTTTAGAGCTCCAAAGAGCAACTGGTACATTATCATTCATTCGTTTTGCAAATCACCCTTGTACACTCTCTGACTTATACACTCTAGAAACACATGAAAACGATTAAGATGATGGTGATGATAAACATGACGCCAAACGGCATGCAGGTAGAGATCCAAAAAAGAGCAACAGGTTCATTTTCTGAACATTCATAGTTGGACCCCTGTAACCAGAAATCCTTAAAAATTGCCTCCATAAGTTAAAACAAAGTCATGGATTCTACAAAATAAAAAACTACATTTTAAAGAGTCCTTTAGGGAGTCAGCTCTCTCTAAAAGCAAACATTTTCCAAATGTTCAACAGGTTAGTATGCAACCTTAAAGATAAGGCTCTGTTAACGTTTTCAATTTTACTGTGAAAAATGGACTCTCGTGATTGTAGAAAAACAGCTTGCCTCTTATTTTAACTAAACTATATAGATATTCACCACTGATCTGTATTACGTATGTTAAGGGATCGAAAAGTAGAGAGGATGTGGGAGGAGAGGAGAAAAAAGGACATGAAAGAAAGTAAGGTATAAATCGAGAGCCCTTTACTCTTGTATTTTGGCTGTTCTCTTTTGCTACTTTTTTAACTGTGACAAAGAGAACAGAAGTGTTCGCCACTTCCCTTTCATATTAGTCTATTTTTAGTAAACTAGAACCACGCCTTTTAGTGGCTTTGAAACAGCGAGTTATGTTTACTCAAAAACATCTATGGTTTGAATAATGTCATGCCGCCACACTCAGACTATCATTTGCTAAGCCAAATAATGTATAGGTATAGTTAAATTAAATAGGCCCGCAACAAAAACGCTGGTTTCAGTTTTTTTAGGCTTCACAGAAATGACATCAGGTAAAACTGGCAATCCACAATATTTATTGTTATATTTTTACTGCTATTTTCCTATATATCATGACCTTAACTAACAAATTTGAGGTAAAGCACACCAAACATTTGAGTTTGAGGATAGCTTAGCTTGTACCCTTCTCATTTGTGGCCCGTCTTTTTTCTTGCTTTCAAAGGTACAGCCACCTCTTCCCTCCAAATGTGGGATTTGTCTTGTATGTCATACCAAGAGCCATAATGGCTCTTAATCATACCCTTACCTAACATATGTGCTGCAAACTGCACTAAAAGTTGAGAATGAGGATACCTTCTCCTTTTTACCTTGTACAAAATGTTTGGGACCAGTTGTACCCCAGCCTATGAAGAAATTCAAACAGATAATTCACAGAGTTACAAAATTTTCTAACTATCGTACCTTTTTTACTTATCATCTGGCACCTCCTTGGCTGAGGGCCAAAGAGTAAGGGCCTGTTTACCTGGAGGTTGGGGACCCCAGGAAGGTGATGTAATCAGTGCTAAAAGATTTTTCTCGTTTACGGTTAGAAAGATAGGAAGTGGAAAGCTTTATATCAATTCATACCATGGGAAACATCTTCCTATTACGAGTCGTGCGCACAATCAAGTTTCCCATGCGGCGGCTCGCTTTTTTTTTCCCCCAGAACTGGCACACCTAGTTTTTAAAGAGCTGCATCTGTCTCTTTACATTAAAGCAAACTTCATGTCACGTTCACTGTAAGAAGTTATATATTGCTTTATCAAAGTGTATACCGCTTTCATCTTTTCGTTCTCTTCTTTCTTTATTTCTTTTCTTCTTTTTCTCCTTTTGAGGAGCTGTTACTCTCTGGCTATTCAATGACAGATTGCACAAAAAGTTAAAGCTTCTTAATCTCTCTTCTTTGTTTTCGCCTTCGAAATTCCTCCTTCCATTTCTTTTAACAGCCAGATGTACTTCAATAAGCATTATACTTGCTTTTAAATATTAAACCTAAACTGCACCTGCCACCGAGGTATGTGTTCCATTCTCTCACGTCCTTTAAAAAGGAAATCTCACCTAAGATTATGATATACATCCTGCTGTTATAAGTTAATACATTTTATCGCATGAAGTAATTTGGAGTGATGTGTCATGAAATAGAAATTTCTTTTTTTTCTTTGACTTACTACTCCTTCTCACTGAGATGGTTATTAATCGCTCACGGCTCCTGTATAATAAAAGAAATATCCGTAAAACACTTTATGTAGTACACAAAGTATCTACAATACGGCATGAATCATAAACAAAGTTTTAACTTTCGCCGGCCAAAAAATAGGAGGGAGGAGGGCACGGGCCCACCCAGTCATCGGCTGTCATTTTGTGTGATTTGTCCCTAGTACTACGATCTTCCTGGCAAAAGTGGTTTACATGCTAGCACCAGGATTTTCCTACCTTTCAGTTACGAATAATACTATAAAAACCCTAGCGCATGTAAACCGAAAACAGAAAACCTATGGCGCTAGGATCATCCGCCGTTCTAAGATCTTCCTGGTGATGGGATCTTCCTAACTCTTTTTAAACAGCCCCTTTGATAAAACATCATTTAAATTTTCTGGTTCAAGGCAATCTTTACTGGCGCTTCACTAGCTTATAACGTCTTGTGCTTATATGCACGGTTTTTCATTTTTTCATTTTTTTCACGTTAAAATGAACTCACCAAGCTAGCCTGCTTCCGATGCATCTGTGAACTGCAACGCTTAAGCAGAGGCCATTCATAGGTTAAACCACCGTTGAAGTCCCGAAATCTTTATCGGGTTTGTTCGCAAAGTTTTAAATTATCATTACAACTGCAAAGACAATCCGAAGGGCGGATATCATTTAAACTGATCTTTTCAATTTTCATCTATATATATACTCCGTTGATATATGCTGCACGTAAGCAAGTTAAAGTGATCAACGCAAAGAGGGAAACTGATCAAGAATTTATTTTAATTTCACCGTGCCGACTTCTTTCAACTGCTTAAAGTGTTTTTTTTTAATCATTTTCATTCAGTTTCTACTATTTACAGTGGTGCTTTTGAACTATGTACAGGTGTTTTTTAAAAAATTATTTACATTTATTGTTGTTAATTAAGTGGTCTTTTTACATTTTAGTCGTCAGACGAGGAGGAATAAAATTTGTACGCGTATCGAGCTGCATTCCCTGATATAAAGAAAAGAAGAGCATTTAATTTAACCATGAATAATACAACAACCATGGAAGTCTATTAACAATCGGTGCATACTCAAGAAACATCGTTAGGCATACAGTCTCAAAATAACTGCTCAACGCTAATGTTCAGCTGGGATGAAAATAACAATGACGATAATAATAACAATTAAAATAATGTCTATGATTAAATGATGATTGCGTGCGCTGATGACGATGAGTGATGACGACGACTTACTGGCTTAGTTTCATTGTTAAGCAAAGCGCCCAGTTTATTTTATGGAGCTAATTTAATTACATACAGTAGAAATCAGAAATACAAGTGTATATGGGGTCTAAAAATAAGTATACGTAAAAGACCTAAGACATAAAATACTGCCGAAGCAATTGAGGTGTGTAAGGTGACAAGATTGGTGTTAGAGTTTCTTCCCAGATGAATTGACCTCTATAGAAAATTGCCCTACTAATCCCAATGGGAAGGACTGCCAAACTTTATTAACGGCAAAACGGAATATTGAGAGTTTGTTATAATTGGTACACAAGTAATTGACCTGATGCGCACATCAAATAGCAACGTGCTTCAATTACTTTGGATAAGTTATGATAATTATGATTGGTCACAAGGCCTTTTGGTCAAAACAAATGCTTTAGCTACTTTAAAACATGAATCCCTGGATAACCACCATTGAAACGATAGTGTTGCGGCAGGACATTATTCAAACTATAGATGTTTTGAGTAATAACAACTCGGTGTTTTCTAAAAACCGTCACCACTGAAAGGCGTGGTTCGAGTTTACTAAAAATGGGCCAGTATGAAAGAGAAGTGGCGAACACTTCAGTTCTCTTTGTCACAGTTTAACTCTTAAGCCCTAAAAGCGGTCAGCATCAAATTTCTCCTTGTAATATCAATGCTTTGAGGAACAGAGTGGTCATGAGAATTACGGACATGATCACATAAGATGAATTTGCTTGATATTTTATCAACTTCTCCCCACTACTTTTGTGGGAAATGAATAGGGGGCAACTAATTAGAATTCAAATTTTGATCTGAAGGTTTAAAGAATTAAAACTAAGAAGCAAAAGAGATCAGCCAAAATATAAAATAAAAGGGCACTGGATTGAAGACTTACTTTCCTCCTCGTCTTTCTTCCTTCTTTCTTCCCACCGCTTTTCTACTTTTCTCTCCTTAAATATAGGGAAAACAGGTTTGTTAATATCTATATATAGTTTAGTTGGTATTATGGGCAAACTGTCTTTGAGTCAATGAACAATCCTTTTGTGAACTTCTTGTCTTGTTTGGGCAAAAAAATACGGATGATTGCAGCTAATTGACTAAATAGACATCACTATAGTCATCGCAACGATGTGCGATTTACTCTGTTAATTGCGCAAGTCCCCATAAAGAATACTTCATCGCAAGTTAATATGATATAGGGTCTAGTACATTGTATAGGGTAGCAAAATTCCACTGAACCAGGTCTGATATTGGCTAAGGGTCCCAGGCTCCCAGCGGCACATTCCTAAAGTACCTCCTTCGGGCTTTATGGACAGAATCGCAGTGATAACAATGATCGAGCCGAACGAAGGCCTTAGTCTTACCCTTGCCTTTAATTTTCTCCTTTTTGTCCTGTTCAGACTCGTATCGTCCTCGTGTCCCATCTGCGAAATAATTCCAGTAGAAATCGATTAATACAAAAAGGAGAATATAAAAAGAAACAAGTAGCTGCCCCTGTTTTCCAATGAGTTACTCCAATTCCAAAAATATGCATTTGCTTGTGCGAAAGAAGAATGAAATATGAAGGAAAGGCAGTCTAAAACCGCTTTTACAATTACTCTAAATTTGAGGTCTGTGAACGTGATTTTGCTTATGGAAAACACTGTCGTGAGAGTGTTTTCTGACAAACGAGTGGACAAAAATCCACTGACGAAGAGATGTCGGAGATGTCGTGTAATGAATATTAAGTTGGAACGAAACAAAAAAAAAAATTCAGGGAAACGGAGGGCGGAGAAGTTAACAGCAACAACAAAAATAAATGATTATCCTGACTAATTTTCCTCAAATATATCTTTGAATTCACATAAAAACAGCTCCACAAGCTCCAAACAGCGTATATATTTCAGCGTTGTGCAGTGGTCTAGGAGCCGACCTTCCATGTAGATGGTCCAGGTCTACTCTACGCTGAGCTGTTTTTTTTTTCCTTTGCTGTATACTTTTTGTCGCTTATATTCTTACCGTGCGAGTTTGTAACGTTGAGCTGGCGCGGTTTTAAAAATGTACAGGACATTCGGTCATTTCGATGGAACCGCGTGAACTCCACGCTTGCGGTCTTCCATCTACCTTAATCCTACAAGGATTTGAAAAACAGTGCAAACACTTGAGAACTGATCATCTGTAGGTTCAGTTTTCTGATCCACCCAGCTTATAGCGACCCAAAAGATACAAACTGTATTGGCAATCCCTCATTTGTTTGTGGCGTAAGGACAAATCCTCGATAACCTCTGTAATAAAGCATTTTTTGTAATGAATGATATTCTTTTTTCCCAAAATAGTAAACAATAACATGGAAAAAACTTTGATATAACAAAATATAACAGAACAAACAAATTCAGTTTGCCTTATCATTCTATCCATTCCATTCACGACTGAATTTTCATCGACGAAATTGTTTTCCGTGGCATTTAAAAAGAAATCATTATTTTTATTTAGTACCTACCGCTTTTAACTGTCTTCTTCGTTCCTTCTTTTTCTCCCTCCTTTTTTTCCTTTTGAGCTTTACTAATTAGTGATATTCACTAATAGAAATAAGGTGAAACTTAATCTGCATTTAAAAAAAACAAGTTCAGTTTGCCTTATCATTCTGGCTTCCTTTTCTCCTTCCTTTTCTTCCTTTTCATCTTTACTAATTAGTGATATTCAATGATATAAATAAAGTCAAACCGATAAACTGCATTTATTCCTTTGTAATCTTTATTATTTTAATCAAAATAGTTCTCTTGAGGGTACCACCTTTGCCTTTTCTCTTCTGTTTTTTTTTTTCAACTCAATCTCTATTTTTCTTTTTCTTTTCCTTCGCTTATGTAATTTTCTAGCTTATCGGATGCTGAAAACTTGTATGCGTTTGGCCCTCTGTTTACTACAAAGGCTGCAAATCTCGAAAATCTGGCTAGATATGTATTAGTGAAAATATTTGTATGATTTTTATTTCTCTCTTGTTCTTATTTCCTATATTAAACCTTTTTTACATTTTTAATAAAATTGAGTTAAATGGGCTCGCCTTCTGTAGTACCTCTGAAGCTAGTCTGTAAGTCCAATATTCAGTTTTTGCAGTAGAACACTTGATAATAGCTTGTGGCAATGGAAGTGAAATCTATAAATAATGAAAGGTCTGACTTCCCATATTAAAGTAGATTGCGATGGGACCATACAGGGAGTCTTCTTATGTTTTTACTTCAAATGTATAAAAAAAATTTCCACCTTTCTCTTGTTTTGTTAATGCCGATTCCGGATCCTTTGCGTTTGATCTGGAATTGAAAATAACGTTGTCATCAATTATTATTCGTTCCTTCTTTTTCCCCTTCCTTTCTTTCCTTTTGAGCTTTACTAATTAGTGATATTCAATGATAGAAATTAAGTCAAACTTGATTTATCTGCATTTATTCCTTTGTAATCTTTATTCTTTTTCTTTTTCTTTACCTTCGCTTATGTAATTTTCTGGCTTATCGGATGCTGAAAACTTGAATGCGTTTGGCCCTCTATTTACCACAAAGGCTGCAAATTTCGCTTGCCCAATCTCGAAAAACTGGCTAGATATGTATTTGTGAAAATGTTTGTATGATTTTTATTTCTCTCTTGGAAAACAGGTTTGTTAATATCTATATAGTTTAGTTGGTATTATGGGCAAACTGTCTTTGAGTCAATGAACAAACTTTTGTGAACTTCTTCTCTTGTTTGGGCAAAAAAATACAGATGATTGCAGCTAATTGACTAAATAGACATCACTATAGTCATCGCAACGATGTGCGATTTACTCTGTTAATTGCGCAAGTCCCCATAAAGAATACTTCATCGCAAGTTAATATGATATAGGGTCTAGTACATTGTATAGGGTAGCAAAATTCCACTGAACCAGGTCTGATATTGGCTAAGGGTCCCAGGCTCCCAGCGGCACATTCCTAAAGTACCTCCTTCGGGCTTTATGGACAGAATCGCAGTGATAACAATGATCGAGCCGAACGAAGGCCTTAGTCTTACCCTTGCCTTTAATTTTCTCCTTTTTGTCCTGTTCAGACTCGTATCGTCCTCGTGTCCCATCTGCGAAATAATTCCAGTAGAAATCGATTAATACAAAAAGGAGAATATAAAAAGAAACAAGTAGCTGCCCCTGTTTTCCAATGAGTTACTCCAATTCCAAAAATATGCATTTGCTTGTGCGAAAGAAGAATGAAATATGAAGGAAAGGCAGTCTAAAACCGCTTTTACAATTACTCTAAATTTGAGGTCTGTGAACGTGATTTTGCTTATGGAAAACACTGTCGTGAGAGTGTTTTCTGACAAACGAGTGGACAAAAATCCACTGACGAAGAGATGTCGGAGATGTCGTGTAATGAATATTAAGTTGGAACGAAACAAAAAAAAAAATTCAGGGAAACGGAGGGCGGAGAAGTTAACAGCAACAACAAAAATAAATGATTATCCTGACTAATTTTCCTCAAATATATCTTTGAATTCACATAAAAACAGCTCCACAAGCTCCAAACAGCGTATATATTTCAGCGTTGTGCAGTGGTCTAGGAGCCGACCTTCCATGTAGATGGTCCAGGTCTACTCTACGCTGAGCTGTTTTTTTTTTCCTTTGCTGTATACTTTTTGTCGCTTATATTCTTACCGTGCGAGTTTGTAACGTTGAGCTGGCGCGGTTTTAAAAATGTACAGGACATTCGGTCATTTCGATGGAACCGCGTGAACTCCACGCTTGCGGTCTTCCATCTACCTTAATCCTACAAGGATTTGAAAAACAGTGCAAACACTTGAGAACTGATCATCTGTAGGTTCAGTTTTCTGATCCACCCAGCTTATAGCGACCCAAAAGATACAAACTGTATTGGCAATCCCTCATTTGTTTGTGGCGTAAGGACAAATCCTCGATAACCTCTGTAATAAAGCATTTTTTGTAATGAATGATATTCTTTTTTCCCAAAATAGTAAACAATAACATGGAAAAAACTTTGATATAACAAAATATAACAGAACAAACAAATTCAGTTTGCCTTATCATTCTATCCATTCCATTCACGACTGAATTTTCATCGACGAAATTGTTTTCCGTGGCATTTAAAAAGAAATCATTATTTTTATTTAGTACCTACCGCTTTTAACTGTCTTCTTCGTTCCTTCTTTTTCTCCCTCCTTTTTTTCCTTTTGAGCTTTACTAATTAGTGATATTCACTAATAGAAATAAGGTGAAACTTAATCTGCATTTAAAAAAAACAAGTTCAGTTTGCCTTATCATTCTGGCTTCCTTTTCTCCTTCCTTTTCTTCCTTTTCATCTTTACTAATTAGTGATATTCAATGATATAAATAAAGTCAAACCGATAAACTGCATTTATTCCTTTGTAATCTTTATTATTTTAATCAAAATAGTTCTCTTGAGGGTACCACCTTTGCCTTTTCTCTTCTGTTTTTTTTTTTCAACTCAATCTCTATTTTTCTTTTTCTTTTCCTTCGCTTATGTAATTTTCTAGCTTATCGGATGCTGAAAACTTGTATGCGTTTGGCCCTCTGTTTACTACAAAGGCTGCAAATCTCGAAAATCTGGCTAGATATGTATTAGTGAAAATATTTGTATGATTTTTATTTCTCTCTTGTTCTTATTTCCTATATTAAACCTTTTTTACATTTTTAATAAAATTGAGTTAAATGGGCTCGCCTTCTGTAGTACCTCTGAAGCTAGTCTGTAAGTCCAATATTCAGTTTTTGCAGTAGAACACTTGATAATAGCTTGTGGCAATGGAAGTGAAATCTATAAATAATGAAAGGTCTGACTTCCCATATTAAAGTAGATTGCGATGGGACCATACAGGGAGTCTTCTTATGTTTTTACTTCAAATGTATAAAAAAAATTTCCACCTTTCTCTTGTTTTGTTAATGCCGATTCCGGATCCTTTGCGTTTGATCTGGAATTGAAAATAACGTTGTCATCAATTATTATTCGTTCCTTCTTTTTCCCCTTCCTTTCTTTCCTTTTGAGCTTTACTAATTAGTGATATTCAATGATAGAAATTAAGTCAAACTTGATTTATCTGCATTTATTCCTTTGTAATCTTTATTCTTTTTCTTTTTCTTTACCTTCGCTTATGTAATTTTCTGGCTTATCGGATGCTGAAAACTTGAATGCGTTTGGCCCTCTATTTACCACAAAGGCTGCAAATTTCGCTTGCCCAATCTCGAAAAACTGGCTAGATATGTATTTGTGAAAATGTTTGTATGATTTTTATTTCTCTCTTGGAAAACAGGTTTGTTAATATCTATATAGTTTAGTTGGTATTATGGGCAAACTGTCTTTGAGTCAATGAACAAACTTTTGTGAACTTCTTCTCTTGTTTGGGCAAAAAAATACAGATGATTGCAGCTAATTGACTAAATAGACATCACTATAGTCATCGCAACGATGTGCGATTTACTCTGTTAATTGCGCAAGTCCCCATAAAGAATACTTCATCGCAAGTTAATATGATATAGGGTCTAGTACATTGTATAGGGTAGCAAAATTCCACTGAACCAGGTCTGATATTGGCTAAGGGTCCCAGGCTCCCAGCGGCACATTCCTAAAGTACCTCCTTCGGGCTTTATGGACAGAATCGCAGTGATAACAATGATCGAGCCGAACGAAGGCCTTAGTCTTACCCTTGCCTTTAATTTTCTCCTTTTTGTCCTGTTCAGACTCGTATCGTCCTCGTGTCCCATCTGCGAAATAATTCCAGTAGAAATCGATTAATACAAAAAGGAGAATATAAAAAGAAACAAGTAGCTGCCCCTGTTTTCCAATGAGTTACTCCAATTCCAAAAATATGCATTTGCTTGTGCGAAAGAAGAATGAAATATGAAGGAAAGGCAGTCTAAAACCGCTTTTACAATTACTCTAAATTTGAGGTCTGTGAACGTGATTTTGCTTATGGAAAACACTGTCGTGAGAGTGTTTTCTGACAAACGAGTGGACAAAAATCCACTGACGAAGAGATGTCGGAGATGTCGTGTAATGAATATTAAGTTGGAACGAAACAAAAAAAAAAATTCAGGGAAACGGAGGGCGGAGAAGTTAACAGCAACAACAAAAATAAATGATTATCCTGACTAATTTTCCTCAAATATATCTTTGAATTCACATAAAAACAGCTCCACAAGCTCCAAACAGCGTATATATTTCAGCGTTGTGCAGTGGTCTAGGAGCCGACCTTCCATGTAGATGGTCCAGGTCTACTCTACGCTGAGCTGTTTTTTTTTTCCTTTGCTGTATACTTTTTGTCGCTTATATTCTTACCGTGCGAGTTTGTAACGTTGAGCTGGCGCGGTTTTAAAAATGTACAGGACATTCGGTCATTTCGATGGAACCGCGTGAACTCCACGCTTGCGGTCTTCCATCTACCTTAATCCTACAAGGATTTGAAAAACAGTGCAAACACTTGAGAACTGATCATCTGTAGGTTCAGTTTTCTGATCCACCCAGCTTATAGCGACCCAAAAGATACAAACTGTATTGGCAATCCCTCATTTGTTTGTGGCGTAAGGACAAATCCTCGATAACCTCTGTAATAAAGCATTTTTTGTAATGAATGATATTCTTTTTTCCCAAAATAGTAAACAATAACATGGAAAAAACTTTGATATAACAAAATATAACAGAACAAACAAATTCAGTTTGCCTTATCATTCTATCCATTCCATTCACGACTGAATTTTCATCGACGAAATTGTTTTCCGTGGCATTTAAAAAGAAATCATTATTTTTATTTAGTACCTACCGCTTTTAACTGTCTTCTTCGTTCCTTCTTTTTCTCCCTCCTTTTTTTCCTTTTGAGCTTTACTAATTAGTGATATTCACTAATAGAAATAAGGTGAAACTTAATCTGCATTTAAAAAAAACAAGTTCAGTTTGCCTTATCATTCTGGCTTCCTTTTCTCCTTCCTCTTCTTCCTTTTGAGCTTTACTTTTTCTTTCTTTGTTAATGATTCCTTTGCATTTGATCTGGAATTGAAAATAACGTTGTCATCAATTTTTATACGTTTAGATAAATCCTCAGTGTGTGTATTACCTGAAATATATGTGTTGCAAACTTTTTGCAACAAGAAATTCATTTGTCTTCTTTTCTCCTTCTTTCTCTCCTTCCTTGTTTTCCTTTTTAGCTTTTCTAATTAGTGATATTCACTAATAGAAATTAGGTGAAACTTAATCTGCTTTTGTTCCGATTTAAAATATGTATAGTTTAGTGTAGAAAAGAGAGAGGAGAAAAAAAGATTATCTACAATATTTACAATTAAGGGCGCGCTACACAAGTGGATTCACATACAAAATATCAACAGTTCTATATACAAAAAAATTGCATTCTATTTAAGCCCTATTTGAAGCCTCTGATAATAGTCAGTAGCTGGGAATGGAACCTGATGCGTTCTTAATTTGTATAAACAAGAAAAATTAAAATAATAATTATACCTAACAAAAGCGACTGAAGAAGTTTTTGTAACGCTCTACAATACAGAAAAAAACAAGCTAATTTATGATGCTATTCAAGGTGAACAGACTGCAAATCATAGTAGTTGCTAAAAAATATATCTACGTGTCGTAACTGTTTATCAGCAGGATGCCTAAAATGTGTGCACTTCCACAATTGGTTTCGGCTCCATTTACTCGCTCGATCAGATGATTTAAAGGGACTGAATAGCCAAACGGGTCAGAAATATTAACTTAAAAAAGAATAGGTCGCAAATATATCATTGCAAGGATTCAGGGCTTTTTGATTATCAAGAAAAGAAAGGAATAACTAACTTTGGGTGCTACCGGTTTGGAACAAACCGTATTTACTACAAAAGCAGGCTTGAGCTCCTGGTCTTGGAGGTGCTAGATCAGAACCGGGAATCTTCTGATCAGCAAGATTATTCAATATTATATGTAGGTATTGTGTAAGCTTTGCAAATTAAAGCTCTGTACAAAGGTTTGTCAGGTGGGGTACAGATTGCTTGTTTAAGAAAATACACACGAAAAATTGATGCAAACTGCCCTAAACGTATCTACCTTAATCCTACACGGATTTGAAAAACAGTGCAAACACTTGAGAACTGATCATCTGTAGGTTCAGTTTTCTGATCCACCCAGCTTATAGCGACCCAAAAGATACAAACTGTATTCGCAATCCCTCATTTGTTTGTGGCGTAAGGACAAATCCTCGATAACCTCTGTAATAAAGCATTTTTTGTAATGAATGATATTCTTTTTTCCCAAAATAGTAAACAACAACGTAGAAAAAACTTTGATATAACAAAATATAACAGAACAAACAAATTCAGTTTGCCTTATCATTCTATCCATTCCATTCACGACTGAATTTTCATCGACGAAATTGTTTTCCGTGGCATTTAAAAAGAAATCATTATTTTTATTTAGTACCTACCGCTTTTAACTGTCTTCTTCGTTCCTTCTTTTTCTCCCTCCTTTTTTTCCTTTTGAGCTTTACTAATTAGTGATATTCACTAATAGAAATAAGGTGAAACTTAATCTGCATTTAAAAAAAACAAGTTCAGTTTGCCTTATCATTCTGGCTTCCTTTTCTCCTTCCTTTTCTTCCTTTTCATCTTTACTAATTAGTGATATTCAATGATATAAATAAAGTCAAACCGATAAACTGCATTTATTCCTTTGTAATCTTTATTATTTTAATCAAAATAGTTCTCTTGAGGGTACCACCTTTGCCTTTTCTCTTCTGTTTTTTTTTTTTCAACTCAATCTCTATTTTTCTTTTTCTTTTCCTTCGCTTATGTAATTTTCTAGCTTATCGGATGCTGAAAACTTGTATGCGTTTGGCCCTCTGTTTACTACAAAGGCTGCAAATCTCGAAAATCTGGCTAGATATGTATTAGTGAAAATATTTGTATGATTTTTATTTCTCTCTTGTTCTTATTTCCTATATTAAACCTTTTTTACATTTTTAATAAAATTGAGTTAAATGGGCTCGCCTTCTGTAGTACCTCTGAAGCTAGTCTGTAAGTCCAATATTCAGTTTTTGCAGTAGAACACTTGATAATAGCTTGTGGCAATGGAAGTGAAATCTATAAATAATGAAAGGTCTGACTTCCCATATTAAAGTAGATTGCGATGGGACCATACAGGGAGTCTTCTTATGTTTTTACTTCAAATGTATAAAAAAAATTTCCACCTTTCTCTTGTTTTGTTAATGCCGATTCCGGATCCTTTGCGTTTGATCTGGAATTGAAAATAACGTTGTCATCAATTATTATTCGTTCCTTCTTTTTCCCCTTCCTTTCTTTCCTTTTGAGCTTTACTAATTAGTGATATTCAATGATAGAAATTAAGTCAAACTTGATTTATCTGCATTTATTCCTTTGTAATCTTTATTCTTTTTCTTTTTCTTTACCTTCGCTTATGTAATTTTCTGGCTTATCGGATGCTGAAAACTTGAATGCGTTTGGCCCTCTATTTACCACAAAGGCTGCAAATTTCGCTTGCCCAATCTCGAAAAACTGGCTAGATATGTATTTGTGAAAATGTTTGTATGATTTTTATTTCTCTCTTGGAAAACAGGTTTGTTAATATCTATATAGTTTAGTTGGTATTATGGGCAAACTGTCTTTGAGTCAATGAACAAACTTTTGTGAACTTCTTCTCTTGTTTGGGCAAAAAAATACAGATGATTGCAGCTAATTGACTAAATAGACATCACTATAGTCATCGCAACGATGTGCGATTTACTCTGTTAATTGCGCAAGTCCCCATAAAGAATACTTCATCGCAAGTTAATATGATATAGGGTCTAGTACATTGTATAGGGTAGCAAAATTCCACTGAACCAGGTCTGATATTGGCTAAGGGTCCCAGGCTCCCAGCGGCACATTCCTAAAGTACCTCCTTCGGGCTTTATGGACAGAATCGCAGTGATAACAATGATCGAGCCGAACGAAGGCCTTAGTCTTACCCTTGCCTTTAATTTTCTCCTTTTTGTCCTGTTCAGACTCGTATCGTCCTCGTGTCCCATCTGCGAAATAATTCCAGTAGAAATCGATTAATACAAAAAGGAGAATATAAAAAGAAACAAGTAGCTGCCCCTGTTTTCCAATGAGTTACTCCAATTCCAAAAATATGCATTTGCTTGTGCGAAAGAAGAATGAAATATGAAGGAAAGGCAGTCTAAAACCGCTTTTACAATTACTCTAAATTTGAGGTCTGTGAACGTGATTTTGCTTATGGAAAACACTGTCGTGAGAGTGTTTTCTGACAAACGAGTGGACAAAAATCCACTGACGAAGAGATGTCGGAGATGTCGTGTAATGAATATTAAGTTGGAACGAAACAAAAAAAAAAATTCAGGGAAACGGAGGGCGGAGAAGTTAACAGCAACAACAAAAATAAATGATTATCCTGACTAATTTTCCTCAAATATATCTTTGAATTCACATAAAAACAGCTCCACAAGCTCCAAACAGCGTATATATTTCAGCGTGGTGCAGTGGTCTAGGAGCCGACCTTCCATGTAGATGGTCCAGGTCTACTCTACGCTGAGCTGTTTTTTTTTTCCTTTGCTGTATACTTTTTGTCGCTTATATTCTTACCGTGCGAGTTTGTAACGTTGAGCTGGCGCGGTTTTAAAAATGTACAGCACATTCGGTCATTTCGATGGAACCGCGTGAACTCCACGCTTGCGGTCTTCCATCTACCTTAATCCTACACGGATTTGAAAAACAGTGCAAACACTTGAGAACTGATCATCTGTAGGTTCAGTTTTCTGATCCACCCAGCTTATAGCGACCCAAAAGATACAAACTGTATTCGCAATCCCTCATTTGTTTGTGGCGTAAGGACAAATCCTCGATAACCTCTGTAATAAAGCATTTTTTGTAATGAATGATATTCTTTTTTCCCAAAATAGTAAACAACAACGTAGAAAAAACTTTGATATAACAAAATATAACAGAACAAACAAATTCAGTTTGCCTTATCATTCTATCCATTCCATTCACGACTGAATTTTCATCGACGAAATTTTTTTCCGTGGCATTTAAAAAGAAATCATTATTTTTATTTAGTACCTACCGCTTTTAACTGTCTCCTTCGTTCCTTCTTTTTCTCCTTCCTTTTTTTCCTTTTGAGCTTTACTAATTAGTGATATTCACTAATAGAAATTAGGTGAAACTTCATCTGCATTTAAAAAAACAAATTCAGTTTGCCTTATCATTCTGGCTTCTTCGCTCCTCCGTTTTCTCCTTCCTCTTCTTCCTTTTCAGCTTTACTTTTTCTTTCTTTGATAATGATTCCTTTGCATTTGATCTGGAATTGAAAATAACGTGATCAATTATTATACGTTTAGTTGAATCCTCACTGTGTGTATTACCTGAAATATCTGTGTTGCAAACTTTTTGCAACATGAAATTCATTTGTCTTCTTTTCTCCTTCTTTTTCTCCTTCCTTTTTTTCCTTTTCAGCTTTTCTAATTAGTGATATTCAGTTATATTCACTAATAGAAATTAGGTGAAACTTAATCTGCATTTGTTCCAATTTAAAATATGTATAGTTTAGTGTAGAAAAACAAAACTGGGAGAAAAAAAGATTATCTACAATATTTGCAATTAAGGGCGCGCTACACAAGTGGATTCACATACAAAATATCAAGACTTCTATATACAAAAATTGCATTCTATTTAAACCCTATTTTAAGCTACTGATAATAATCAGTAGCTGGGAATGGAATCTGATGATTTTCTTAAACCTGTATAAACAAGAAAAATTAAAATAGTAATATACGTAACAAAAGCAACAGAAGACGTTTTTGTAACGTTCTACAGTGCAGAAAAAAATAAGCTAATTTATCAAGGTATTCAAAGTGGACAGACTGCAAATTATAGTAGTTGCTAAAAAATATATCTATTACCTTTGGGTCCAGTTGTTCCCCGGCCTATGAAGAAATTCAAACAGATAATTTACGGAGTTTTTTTGGAAGCTACATCTGTCACTTAACACTTGTACAACTTCATATCCTGTTCATTGTGAGCAACTAAATTTTTATCAAAGAACCTTAGGATACCTTACCCTGTAACCTTCTTGTTTGGGGCCTGTCTTTCTTTATTTTTAAAATTCTCCATAAACTAATGATACTATATTGTCGTTCTTGAAAAGGAAACTGAACTATTCTAAGCCGAATACATGCATACATACACAGGGTACCTAAAAAGCCAATATCTTCGGGAAAACAAAAAAAAAAGAAAGAAAAGAAAGATTTACAAATAATAAAATAACATTACTAAGTAGTAATACATGTTTAGGTTCGGGGAATGTAAACTTTGGCCTTTGAGAGATCAAAACACTGCCAAAAACGTTTCACCACTAGTCACTTTATTGAAATATAAACAAGTAGTTTAATATAAGTAAGAAATTTCCGTCCATGAATCAAAGTTCAAAACAATGGTTGGTGGCGAGGTGACCAGATACCGCATAAACAACAGTATTGTACAAATCTCAAGACTTAATGACGTTTTTCATTCTTTGCAGTGTGAAGGAGGAGGAAGTGAAGGACGAAAAGGAAGTGAAGAAGGAAGTGAAGAAGGAGGAACATAGCACCAACATAGCACCACTTAGCACTATTCATAGCACTTAGAATTAATAGATATGTAATTTGTATTTGCATTACCAAGAGCTTAAGGTAGGCTCGACAGGATTTGTATTGGGGTCGACTTTAATTTCGGAAAAGCTTGACTCGAAAAAGTAAACATCTTAGGTAAGTGATCCTAGGTATTAAACGAATTATTTCAGTGTTATTCGTTGCTGATGACGAGGTGACTCATTGGTGCATGGCGAGATGATAGTACTGATCGTAAATCGTTAATGTATCAAGAAGTGGGAATGTGCACATAATTAACTAAAACGACGAAGATAAAAATTTACGATCATCAGATCATCGTTCCTTGTGGATGTCTTTAACACTAGTTTTTGGAAAATACACATAAAAACCCAGGCCTAATACCCAGGCCGTAATCTACTTAAGCAGAATGGTGATCGAGAGACCTAGTTTTAGGTCGCTTTTCAAGTAAATTCAGGAGCACCCAATGGATTTGTTCCTCCGCTCATTGGTGAAAACCCTTGAAAAACAAAATTAACAGCCGAGACTCCCGTAAGCAACCACCATGGAAATTCGAAAAAGTGGTTGTAACTAGAGCTGGTCATGTCACTTACGAGAATGAGCTAGATCTCGTACTGACTGCATTGTAAGAATAGAGGGTGGTCGCTAACGACAGCTTCAAAAACGAATTAATTATTCATAAAGAAAAAACAAATGTATCCCATTTTTTACAACCAAATAACCCCAAATCTAACTATTAGTTACTATTAATACAACTATCAGTTGATCTGCATCAGAAGATTTTGAAGGCGTTC